CAACCCTCGGTGTTGCCCCCGCGCCTCGCTCAGCCAGTGAGCGGCCGGTCTGTATGTGGGATCCGAACCCTCGACGGGAGCGCCGCCGCGCTTCCCAAGCAGCGCACTGTAGCAGTGCGCCACCGGGCCGGCCCTGGCTTGCTTTCTATACACAGGACACAAGGCAAAACCCTGGGACCTGGGGATCTTAGGAAGGACCATGTTACCAGAAGCTCTCCCGTGGGGCTGCAAGCACCCCCCCTCCACTGACCTGCAGAGCCACTACCAGACTCCAGCATCAGGGCCTGGGGACGCCTCATCCTAGACACTGGCCTTGACCTGGCCTGAAGGGTTGCACAGCAGGCAGCGAGGCCATGGCTCCCAGGGCACGTGGCTCAATTCCAGGCATAGACTCCGAGCCCCGGCAGCCTCCACCCACCATCCTCAGGCACACACATGGGTCCTGGCAGCCTGGGCTACTGCCCAAGAGCCTCTGACAGTGGTATGTGACCCCAGGCCCTCCTGCCACAAGGGTCCCAGGAAGGAAAGTCCATATGAGAGGGAGTGGCTGGGGAACCAGCAGCCCCATTTTAGTGGCTTCTGCGATGGGGCCCAGCGCTCTCTGGTGGTCTAGCTGGGAAATGCTATGACTTCAGCAATGTGCAGGGAGTGGGGGCTGGTCCTCAGGGACTCCTGAGCTACGAGGCTGTCCCTGCCTGAGTGGGGTTTGCTTGAGTACAAAGGGCAACCATCACAGCCATGCCTGTCAAACTTGAGCACACATCAGAATCCTCTGGGGGGCCTGTGAAAACAGACCCCTGGGCCCCACCCCCAAAGTGAGCCAGTCTGGGTGGGGCCAAGAGTCTGATTTTGCCCCAGCTGCCCAGTGATGCTGGTGCTGCAGGTGCAGGGACCCCTCTCTGAGAACTGCTGGCATCGAGGCCCATCTCCCCACAGACAGGCGAGCCGACCCCTGCTTGCCTCACGAACGATGAGGTGGATGTCAGAGCCATCTGGGGCTACTCCCTGGATGGAGGACAGTGCTTGGGCCCTCACCATATCCACGGCAGCATTCTCTGCGAGGAGCCACTGCAGGGTGGCGCAGCACAGGGACACACCTAGAGAAGAGAGGTGCCAATGAGCACGTGGGTGGTCACCTCGAACTGTCCCCTCCCAGGGCCACCTATACATCCCGGGTGCCCCAGCCCCACCCAAGCAGGGAGCCCAGCCCGTTAACCGGGAGGAAGGAAGGAGACCAAGCCCCTGACTTTCTTTGATGAAGGAGTTTTACAGTGGGGTGGCGGTCAGGAATTTGATTAATCAAGGATTAAAACCTCACTCTGGGAGAGGGACTGCCAGTGCTCACAGTGGCTGCTCTTAAGAGCAGGTGATTCCATTCCAGACACAAACACTCTCATGAGGACGGCTGCACCTGCCATCTCTGTAAAAGCCCAAATCCAGAAACCACCCACCAGGACACTATCCTGCCACAAGATACAGCCATCACGCAACCAAACGAAGGGTCTCACACACACACAGTGGGAGTGAAAGCCAGACACAACCAAGAACGGACTGCACACCCACTCGCAGAGAGCTCCGACAGGCCTCTGACCAGCTCCAGAGGTATAGTCAGCGACAGCTGGTCCCTGGGTGCTCACTGTGTGGAAATGCCCCGAGCTGCTCCCTCGTGACATGTCTACTTTTTTCTATTTAGGTTATACTTCCATAAATAGTTTTAAACACAATTTAAAAGAATAACGTGGTGGGAGAGCAACATGACAGCAAATTCGAACAGAGAACAGGGCACAGTCAGCTCACTAAAAGCAGAGCTCAGAAGGCTGGGGCCAAGGCTGCCCAGGAACAGCTGGGGAGGCCAGAGGCAGGCCAGTCGTTACCACCAACCTGAGTGACCCTCCTCTAGGGCAGCCCTGAGCAGCTCCGCCGACACCCTGATGGAGGCCGCTGACGGGGGCAGGTACCTGGCCCGCAGGGAGGCAGGGCCTGCTGGCTCACTGCCCGGCTCTCGAAGCGTTTCCAGGAAGGTGTCCACAGGGTCAGTGGTGGCACCGAGCGGGCAGGGGGCCTGTGTGCGGGGTGAGGCTAGGCCAGGAAAGCGCAGGCACTGTAGCATGTCCACTGTGTGCCTGCCCAGGGGTAGGCAGACGCCCTCCTGCTCAGGTAGGACGGTGGGAAGACACTCATCCAGAAAGGTGTCCTCAAAAGAATCTGAGGGGGCGAGGGCCCCACCCACAACCTCCCTAAGGTTGTAGAAGAGTGTGCAGGACACGGTCACAGGCAGCTCGAGCATGCCGTTCTCGCCGGGGCCCAGGGGCAGTATCACCTCCCGCCGACTGCCGGGGCTGAGCTGGTCCACGGGCATGGTGTAGGTGATGGCCGAGCCGGCGGAGTCCAGGTCTAAGGCAGAGGGACTGGAAAGCACCTGAATGCACAAGGTCCACCCCTGGTCCAGGCTGAAGCCGCTACTGTTCTCCAGCAGGCAGGTAGCCATCAGCACGTCCTGCAGCTCCAGGCGGCTCCAGGCGATGGTGGTGGTGCAGGAGACAGGTCTGGGGCCCTCCCGGCTCGACAGCAGCGCGCAGCTCACGTTCATGGCCTCGTTGAGGCTCGTCAGGGCCTTGTTGCGCTGGTCAACTGCCTTCTTCAGAAAAGACACTCTGCAAAGAGCAGAAGATGTGGCATGCGGGGAAGAAGAGGGAAACCACGTCCTAACCCCGAAGGTTGGAAGGAACCAGAACCTGTTTCCACAACAAGCATGCAGCGGGGTGTGCGCCAAGGCTGAGGAGCAAGCCCCTCTGGCCCCAGGGAGCATCTCTCTCTGCCCCACCCATGTGGAAAGTTTTTGAAACTGCCTTCAGCAGTCTGACCCAACCCCTCCTCTAGGCCACAAGAGGAAGGCGATGGAGGATGGAGATGGAGCAGTGGAGATGCCATCAGTGGACCTGAGCTAACCCTCCAGACTCAAGAAGCCCACCACCCATGTAAGGGCCATGCAGGAGCCACACAGTGCCTCTGGTGGGGCTGGCACTGTCTCCCGCCCCCGGGTCTCCAAACATTCCTAGTTGGCCCCTTTTCTCCTTGACAGCACTTCACAGCAACAGCCAGGGGCACGGCAGCACTATGGAAACAGCCCTAAACCACAGGGACCTGGAGTCTGCAGGACCCTTGCTCTCAGAACCACAGAAGTCAAGGGGGGCGTGAGAAGAGCGGCTCTCTCTCTGGGTGTCCCCTGTGGGCCGGCACTAAGGGAGGGTCAGAGGAAAAGCCTGGTGGACCCTTTGCTGAGAGCAGGGAGTCAGCAGGAGAGGTCTCCCACGCTCCCATCAGGAAAAAGGCATAGAGAGCGCTGAGAAGCAGGAGGTCTCTCGTGTTCTGGAGGCAGCTGGGCTTCCCATGGAGCAGTGGCCTTAGATGCACACTTTCACCAAACCACACACTGTCCGGGGCCCACAACAGGGTTACCAATCAAGGACACCCAGGCCTGGAGGACAGCCAGACCCAGGAAACCCACCTGAAGACACTGAGACCAGAGGGCGTGCTCCCCTAAGGATGTCACCTCTTGAGGACTGCAGCACCAGCCTCTGCCTGAGCCAGCGCCCAGCTGCTCACCTCTCAGAGACATTGCCGATTCCAGAGAGCAGTTCCTTAATTCTCTGGCCTGCATCTGCTCTGGTCATTTTGGCAGGGCCAGGCACCTCAGAGTTCAGGTCCAGGCTGCAGGTCATCAGGCGGCCTTTGGCAGACAGGGCCAGGAGTTCAGCACTACCTGATGGACACATAGAGGGAGGGTCAGCAGGCTGGGAGGGGCCAGCTGTCATGACAGTGGGCACTATTTCCTCTGGGTTTCAGGACTGATGTTGGAAAAAAGCCAAGGCCAGTGTCCAAGTGAGGAAGAGGTCCCCAAGGACAGCGTGACGTCCCCTGACCTGGAATGCTCCCTAAGGAGACCCAGGAGACAGAGGTTCTGTCTCTTGTGTATGGTCTGTTTGTCCCCAGTATGGCTCTGCCGAGGTGGGGAGGCCGAGAAGCTGAGGTCAGTCAGTGGATGCAGCTGTCACTGGCACCCTGGGCCGCGGCCACACCCACCACCCTCCCTGCCTCTGGCGGAGAGTGTGGCTTCTCCCTTCACAGCCCCTCTCTTGTGGTGAATGTTTTCCTGAGTGCGCCACGGGCTCGGCCCTTGTGGTGAATGTTTTCCATGGCGGGGTTTATTCATGCACTAACAGGCCTCCTGAACTGGAAAGTACACCAGAGAGTGGGGCTACTCCTCATACCCCAACATCCAGCAAACGCAGCTAAAGCTCTCTGGCTTTGTCTGGGGAAAATACACAAAACTAGAGCTCCGTGATGCCATCTGCCTTCAGTCCATGTGGGATCATGGCAACCACATGTTGACTTGAGAGGGTGTTTTCCAGCCTTTAGGAGGAACATAAAGGCTTGATCTGAACGACTGGAGTTTCCCTGGACCCCCTGCTAGGTCAGACCCGTGAGGAGAAACACTCTCACACTGGTCACCCGGATGCAGTATGCTCTCAGTCTGTAACCAACTAAGGGCACAGCCCCTGCCCTAGACCTACCGAGAACACACAAAACCAGCCACTCCTCCGCCCCGAGATGAGAGGTGAAGTAACTGCCAGGCTGCACCAGGTGAGGATCAGTCTGCACCCGATGGGCTTATGCAAGGACAGGAATGTGCCAGGAACAGAAGACAAAAGGGTGGTCCCACCCCAAGGTTTTGCATTTTCGTGTTTAAGCAGCAGCTCATACCTTTAGGTGCCCTCGATGACACAGACAGAGTGACAACGCTGCAGATGCTCAAGCTGGCTGGGAACAGCAGAGGGGGCAGGCCTCCTGAGCGCCCATCAGGCTCCTCTGGGTCCATGGGGGTGCCTCCATGAGCCAGGTCCACCACACAGAGGTCAGACGGGGTGCTGTGGTACATGCGGCTGCCCCCACCACATGCAGCACAGAGTACAGGCCCCGGGAGGCTGTACTCCCGCAGCTCCGGCACCAGATTCCCTGACTCATCCCAGCCGGCCTTAATGGCCAGAGTCCGGCCACGGTGACCAAGGGCCACCAGGCAGTCAGAGTGCACATTTTCCACCTCCTCCTCTGCCCAGTGCTTTGTCCTCAAGGCTCCTATGAAGATGACAGGCTCCTCCAGGTGGTGGAGGATCTTGACAAGGGCCTTCAGGTCACCAGGGGCTGACTTGGAGGTGACCAGGGCCTTCAGGACCACACAGCAGAGCTGGCCATCGGGGAGACCGCAGAGGATCACAGGCGACTCCAGGAGGGTGGCATCAGCTCCAAAGAGTAGGCCAAAGAGGGCCTCCTCCAGCATGAAGCCCCCAGAGCCCCAGAGGTGGCCGTGTGGGACCCGGGAGCCAGGCGGCAATGCACAGCAGAGCACCGGGAGGAAGCGGGGGACTTCGGGTTTCCCGGGGACTTCGGGTTTCCCAGGGACCCCGCCTGGGGGTGTGCAGGCAGATAACTGCACCTCACCAATCTGGCCTCCTGGATGGGGGTCCTCCCCAGGACAGGGACACTCAAACAGCTGCATCTTCCACTGGGTGGGGCCTTGTGCCAAGGTGACAAACACTTCATTGAGCACAGTGAAAGCGCACAGTGTGGCATCTGGAAGGATGCAGGTGTCTGGGTCCACAGGGATGACAATAGAAGGGAGTTCACCGTCCTCGTCGTCCCCGTCATCCTGGCTTGCAGACCTCCGAGAACAAGGAAAAGGTTGGTCAGAACCAGGTGGGGTGGGATTCACGCATTCTTTTCACGATAACCTGGCACGGAGCAGGTCGGATCAGAGGCCCCCACAGTGACTGTCACAGCCCTTCAGTGGTCTGTCCGTCAAGCCGCCTCCCACTCGCCCCAGAGACTCTGCTCAGCACGCTTGATAGGAAGTACCGAGGCTTCCGAAACCAACCTGGACTGACAGTTCTCATCAGGGCAGACACGCTGTCACAGCGCCAGCTCCGCAGCCGGCAGGCCGTGCGCTGGGGACAGGAGCCGGGCTGCCCCAGGCTCACTTTCCGACCCAGACGGTCTCCTCCAGTCGCGAACTGAGAGTTCACGAAGCCTGTCCTGCCACTACCAACCGCAGGCTCTCCTCCCCCTTCTAGAAGCCCACCGTGAAGGACCAGACCACGAGCCCCGGGAGGCAGACTCGGTCGTCTGGGCTCCGCTTGCTCAGGAAGCCGCTGCCGGTACGCAGGGCCGTCCGCGAGGGCGCCCGGGCCGCTCACCTGCTCGGGCGGTCCAGCGGCACGCAGTACAGGCCCCGCCGCGCGCACAGCACCAACAGCGCCCTGCGCGGGGCCAGCAGCTCCAGGTGCCACACCTGCGCGGGGAACTTGTACGCCGCCTGCACGGGGCGAGGAGCGCGTCAGGGGCGGCGCGACCCCCGCCTCCGCCCCCCCCCGGCCCCCCCC